CCACTCCACTGCAGCCTGCATGACAGAGTGACACCCTGTCTTAAAAAAAAAAAAAAAAAAGTCACTGTTTTGGGGTTTTCTGGGTGAAATCTGTTTCCGTTAAAAAAAAGGGGGGGTCAAGACAGTATGTATTACTGATTCAAATTCATAATCAGATGCTTAGAGTAAATAATTGTATCTATTGTGTTCAAAAACCAACCTCGGAATTGTTAAGTTAGTTTTATTGGGTTTTTCTTTAAACTGTGCTGATTCATTCAGGTCTGTCACTTCCAAGCCCATGTTTTACTACTTTGTAATCTTATTTGGAAGGAAAACTGCAGCTAGGATTATGATCCATCCTGAGATGAAAAGTTTCACACATATACACCACACATACCCCCACCACAGTATGATGACACAGTGACCCAACCTTAGGCTAATGGTACCACTGCCAGCAAATGCATTGTTTTCTTTATTCTCAATTTTTATTTCTTTATTCTAACAGCAGCATATGCATTTAACATTTTATTGAGATCCTCAACAGCTGCCATTTGGTTTGTATGGCAAATTGTTTACAAAGTAACTTTTTTCCATTTTTGATATTTTGATGAAAATTACATTCTTCAATTTTAAAGCCCTGTCCCTCTCCCAAAGAAAGACTAATAACTAACTACCAAGTAATGATTTTTTAGGAAAAGAACGAAAGCCAGAACAGCTTTTAAACACTTCTGGAATGTGGGTAAGGGTCCAAAGTCAAGACCTTCTGGGCCCAGTGGAGGTGCTAGGCTGCCTCGGGACACCATCAGCACTTCCCCATCCACAACATCCTCCACAGTGGGGAGCCATGCGTGGACCCCGGGGGCTTCCTGTTCCACAAGCTCCCCTCTCTTTTTCCTCTCCACCCTTGCTGCTGGACCTCCCCTCCAAATCTGCCTAATGAAGGCAGCAGTGTCTTTAATACTGTTCAGCTTTGTCAGTGGAGACAGGGTACTCTAGAAAGCTGAGAGATTCCCTGGTCCAGTCTGGGGGAGGAAAAAATATGCAGTGTAGCATAGATGGTTTCACTTGTCCACTGAGACACATGCTCATACTTATTAGATGCATGTATCAGATGCTTCAAAAGTCCTGATGTGTAGTAGCACAAAAGTTGCTTGCAAAAAAAAAAGTTGCAAAATGATAAAAATGTCTTCAACAGTTCAGGCTCCTGATGACAAAGCTGGTTCTGATAAGTAGTTATTTTGACATGCACAGCAGCTTTCCCTATAAGTCCTGTGTTCCAAGGGTTTCATTTAGACCACAGGAAATGGAAATCAAAGTTTAAATGGCTCTCTGCTGACAAAATGTGGTATATCCATCAATGGACTCAGTAATGATCAAACTACCAAACCTGTTGTATGTCACAGACCAACGTCAAAAACATTAGCTAAGTAAAAAAGCCAGACACGAGACCACATATTGTATAATTCCATTGATTTGAAATGTCCAAAAAAGGCAAGTTGATAGAGACAGAAATGGTCTGATTTACCTCAAGAGGTAGGGATTCAAGCTCTCTAGAGTACATGTGATACATACATGAGAAAAAATAAGGAAAAGAAATTTAGATATAAATAAATGAAAATAATACTTCTCCCTGATTACAAAGAAAACCACTTTCTGTAATAATTTGGAAGACAAAATATGAAGAAGTCTTTAATTTTGCCACTCAAAACATTCTGGTTTGTTGCTTTTTATACTTTTTTATGCATATAAGCATTTTAAAAAGTAGAATCATAATATATAGTCTTTTGTCACTATGTTTGGGGCATATTTCTATGGCAGTAAATATATCCTTGGCATCATCATTTGTAAAAGCTCGATGTAATATTAATCTTTGCCACCCCAGAAGTAAATTTTCTTATGTATGTATTTTAATGGACTCAATCAAGCATTTTTGGGCTGAATTCATAGAAGTAGAATTTCTGGAGGAAAATAACATAAAACAGTCTTAAGATTTTTAATAGAAATTTTCAAATTATCCTGCAGAAAAATTGGTTCAGTTTATACTCCCACCAACAGGGGCAGAGTTCCAGTGTCCCCCTTCCATTTGTCCTCTTTGCTGGTATTTAAGCAGAAAATCTCATTGTTTTCATTACATTTCTTTGGTTTTTAGTGCTTTTGAAGTTTTTTTTCTTTTTTTTGAGATGGAGTCTTGCTCTATCGCCCAAGCTGGAGTGCAACAGAGCAATCTCAGCTCACTGCAACCTCCGCCTCCTGGGTTCAAGCGATTCCCCTGCTTCAGCTTCCTGAGTAGCTGGTATTACAGGTGCCCACCACCATGCCTGGCTAATTTTTTGTATTTTTTAGTAGAGATGGGGTTTCACCATATTGGTCAGGCCGGTCTCAAACTCCCGACCTCAGGTGTTCCACCTACCTTGGCCTCCTGAAGTGCTGGGATTAGAGGCGTGAGCCATGGCACCCAACCTTGAATCTTTTTTATATGCTTATTGGGCATTTTTATTCTTGTGGAAATTGCCTGTTTCCCCATTGCCTATTTTCTAGCCAACCTCCAAAGTCACATTTCAGTTAATTTTTATCCTGCTGATTGAAAGCATTTTAACTTAATGATTTTAACATAAACAGGAGCAGGACAGATTGTAATTATCTAGATCTTGCTCTGTCACCCAGGCTGGAGTGCAGTGGCATGATCATAGTTGCTGCAGCCTCGTACTCCTGAGCTGAAGCAATTTTGTCTACCTCATCCTCCCAAGTAGCTAGGACTACAGGTGTGTGCCACCATGCCCAGCTAATTCTTAAAAATTTTTTGTAGAGATGTGAATTCACTATGCTGCCCAGGCTGGTCTTGAACTCCTGACTTAAAGTGAGCCTACCACCTTGGCTTGCCAAAGTTCTGGGATTACAGACATGAACTACTGCTTCTGGCTGAGAGCTCATTTTGTTTGCTAGTGGTGTTCTTGGTATCCTTTTATATTTGAGGCTTTGGTGCTAGTGCTGAAGTATTATACTCACTATCCAAGGTTTACAGGACTTTTGTTTTAATATTGAACAGATGGAACTGTTTAGTTCTGCATGTTTGTAGACATAAAAAATGTACCTACCAGGACTCAGCTTTATATCCACTGAAAGAAAGAAGTAATACAATAAAACTTTGCCTGGCTAGAGGCTTTGAAATAATGAAGTATTCTGATTTGATTCTATTAACGTGGAAGTGTGAAGGTGAAAAGAATTCAAAACTTACATTTCCTGTTGAATGCAATTTGAAAATACAGCCAATGATTCCACTTCTCTTCTCTAGTAAGTTTGAACATTCCCATCTACTTGGTGTTTTATTATAGAACTGCTAGTGTGTCTGAGACTTACATTGTGAAGACACTTTTTTAAAAACTTGAGATGTAAGAGGGTGTAAATTGTATGAGATCAGGCTGAATGAGAACTGACGCTTGTAAATATACTTTTTAGACTGAATCTCTGATCGCCACTTGTTTTCTTATTTAACACATAAAAATAAAACACATTGGGTGGAGGGTGGGAGTAGGAAGGAGATTTATGTGTTTTAATTGCATGTCATGGTTTCGTATCAAGACAGAACATATGGTATCCCTGGCTTTGGACCTACAGAAGGAAACACATTTTTCTACCTGCTGTATGCCAGAGGTTCTTGAACATCTGGAGGGATTACTGCAGCACAGATTGCTGAGCCCTACTCCAGAGTTTCTCTTTCACGAGGTCCAGGGTGGGGCCTGAGAATTTGCACTTATAAAAAGTTCTCAGGTTCTGCTGGTGCTGCTAGTCCAGAGACTACATTTTTGAGAACCACTCTTGTCTACTAACTGTGAATTGTAGAACTCTAAAAAAAGCTTAGTTTGGTGTGGGAAAAGAAGCTCACAGGTTATGGAGCAAATCATGAAAGATTCAACCCTTGATCTCAGTCTAGTGTGGAATTCAGGTAACAAGCAATACACAGTGATATAGCACAGTTCTTGGTTTTCATTGTTGTAAGTCATAGCCAAGTATCAAGTGAGAAATTCAGTTTCATTTGCAAGTTTTAGAGAGGTCACGTGATTCTAGATAAATACTTTAAACCAGTAAAGAGCTTTGAGTGCTTATTAAATTGAAAGCTTTGTGTTTTTATTTATTTTTTATTATTTTATTTCTTTTGAGATGGAGTCTCACTTTGTCACCCAGGCTGGAGTGCAGTGGCATGACCTTGGCTCACTGCAGCTTCTGCCTCCCTGATTCAAGTGATCTACTGCCTCAGCCTCCCGAGTAGCTGAGATTACAGGTACCCACCACCACACCTGGCTAGCTTTAGTATTTTTAGTAGAGATGGGGTTTCACCATGTTGGCCAGGCTGGTCTTGAACTCCTGACCTAAGGTGATCCACCCATCTAGGCCTCCCAGAGTGCTGCGATTACAGGTGTGAGCCACCGCACCCTGCCCAAATGCTTTGTGTTTTTGAAGATATTGAACATGTTTCTTGTTCTTTAAAAAATCCAAATAATGTAGGAGAATAAGAGAAATGTCTTTCATAAAAGAGAAATCATTGTGATTATTTTACCTTATTGGAATGTTGGATAATATAGTCCACTTCATTAATCATCAAACGTGCTATGGATTTTCCATTTTTATTGGATTTGTGTCTCAATTGAGGTAATACTGGTAATTCTTGTATTCCATCTGAAGATGAAAAATGTAGGCCAAAATCATAGACCATGTATAGAAGCTAGATAATGAAGACAGCTCTGGAGGAACATGTAGACACACACACACTGACGCACATATATATAAAGTATAAACACATATATTTTTTAAAGATTATTTTTAAAGTTTTAAAGCAAAACCCAGCCCCTCTCCTCTCCCGGAGTAGGCAGGCCCCACCCCTCTCTCCAAGTGGGCGGGACAGCAGTTGCATGGGCAGCTTTCCTTGTGATGCCACAGGTTCCTCTGGACACACTGCTCCCTGGCCACGCCTCCTTTCCCTTTCATCTTTCTCATTGACCAATGGGCTTGGAGCATTAAGGCCACACCCCTATTCTGTGTTCTAGTGGGGCCCTGGTTACGCTGCCTCTGGCTCAGTCGCACAGCCGCCTGGTAGGTGACTGGAGGTGTTCACTGATGTGGCCCCAACACTGCCTCCCTTCCCACCCCACAATGTTAGAAGAAACTCGACAGAGAAAATTGGCAGCAGCCAAGAAAAAGGTAAGACACACCAGGTCATGGCCCCCCAACCTAGCCAGAGATCTCTTCCAATGACAAGTCTACTGCCAGAATCCATACCAGTCCTCAGGCACACCAAGCTGAGTCCCCTACACTGGTGCCTCTGGGCTCCCCTCACCAAAGTCTCATCAGTCAACCCCACCCCTTCAGCAAGCAGCCCAGCCTCTGCCCTCACCAATCACCCCACGGTGACTTTTGATGGGTGACTCCTGGGGCTCCCTGCTCCATACTTGGTTCTCACATCCCACCGCCCCAAGCCCAACCTCCCTGGATTCTTTGGGCTCACCTGTCCGAGGACCTCGGTCCCCCAGCCCCAGCACCCCACCATCACCAGTCATCCCTGGGTGACTTTGGGCTGCTGACTCCTACGGTTCCCTGCTGCAGACTCTGCTCTCCCCTCCTGCTGACCCGAGCCTGACCTTCCTGGGCGTTTTGGACCGGCACCTCCAAAGGCCTGGGTCCCAACCCTATATCCCCCTCCCCTATCATGGATCAGCAACTCAACCATTGCACTGATGTGGTTTCCCCCTCCCCCAGGAGGAGTGGAATGTAGTGATGTCACAGTCCCCCAAGGAACTGTCATTACTGCTGCAAGACCAGCCTTTGATCTTATAACTCAGTCCCCTAAGCATCCTCGCCCCATTTCTGGTTCCTCTGGCCGCAGCACAAATTTCCAGCTGGGAGGGGAATGGGGACAATGGGACTTAGGAGCAACAGGTTTCAGGTTGCCTTACTCCCTTCGGATAGACATTGACTTTGTGAAAAGCCTACACTTCCCCTGTGAGATCAAACGTTGACAGTATCTCTGGGTGGCAATGGGAGAATGGGTTTGGTTTGGTTTTTCTCCCAGCCTTCTACTCTCCAGAGAGACTTTAACATGTTTTTCTGAGTTCTCCACCTCATATTCTAATTCTCCATGGTTCTGGGACCAGACTGCACTTCAGTCAGTGGTCTCTGAAGTGAGATTTGCTTATCTTCTGTGGAATAGATCTTGGAAAACTGAACTTGATAGCTTGAATCTTCCTCATATTATCTCAACCTGGTACTTTGAGTGTCTCAGGATAAATGTGGGAGATCTTTCTGAAGCATCAGTTTCCCTTGATTCTCTTGAGAGAGAAAAAACATTAATGTACTTAGGGAAGAAATTCACAGATTTACCAAAAACCTGCCTTCTGCCATGAGGACACATTGATATAAAAGTTTGAGAGGTCCCGGTGCACTTCTTCACACTAACAGACGTGTGAGGATGTGTGACTCCAAACCTCACAGTGTGCAGTTCCTGCCTACTTAATGTTTACTTTTCTACCTCTGCCTCTGGTTTTGGTCTCTGGCAGCTGCTGATTCATGGCAAAACCCCAGAGCTTGGAGTCAGAAGACTGAGTTTAAGTTCCATTATTGCCTCCCCACTACTTTTTTTAAGCCATAATATACATTCCTCTCAGTCACTAAGTGACTGTGACAACGCCTTGTACAGTTGTTGGTGGCATTAAGTCAGATGGTGTATAAGAGTATTTTGAAAAACTGTAAAGGGGGATGTAGCTGTAGGGGCTGGTAGTTCTCATGAGTATTACTGCTCTTCTTTCCCACAGCTAAAAGAATATCAGCAGAGGAACAGCTCTGGTGTTCTGGCAGGAACGAAGACAAAAAAGAAGAAAACTGGCGGTAGCCCTGAGACAACCACTTCTGGTGGTTGCCACTCACCTGGGGATGTGAGTCTTGGCTGGCCAGGCTCCTGGGGACAGGGGGCCCAAGGGGCAGTAGGGGATAATTGTTGAGATTGCTGGGTACTGGTTAAGGATTCTGGGATTGAATCCTGCCTCTCCATCGAGTAGGCTTCTGATTTACGGCAAATTGCTTGAGCATTTTGGGCCTCTGTTTTCACATCTGTAAAACAGAGGTAGCATTGTTTGACTTCCATTTGTGAAGTTTAAATGAAATTCCTTATTGTTGTTGTTTTTATGTTAATCCCCAGTACATGGTCTGCTGTAAACACTCAGGATGCCCATGAAATGGTCATTGCTATTTGATTTTCCTGATCCCCATTCTCAAGGGGAAGCTGGGACAATGTGTACAGCCACTTGCCATCAGACTGTCCCTTTAGGAGTTACAGAAGGAGGGCCAGTGTGTGGTGAGGACAGTCCCAGGCACTAGGAGTAAGAGAGGATCTAACTTGCCACCAGCTTGCTGGGTGACCACAGAAAAATCACTTCTTCCCCTGGCCTCAGTTTCTTCCTCTGTAAGACGATACTGGACAAGATTAGTACCTTTCAAACTTGTTTTTCAGCTGGAGCCCCCTTAGTTCAAGTGAACCCTTACTCAGGAGTCTGGTTTTTTTAATAGAGGTGGAGGTCTGGAGCTCTACCAGATTCATCGTCCACATCCTGGGCTTGAGGAGAGGGGTCCAGTGAGCATATTAAGAGCTGCATTGGTCAGGTTGCTCCACTCTGTGGCTGCATCACTCAGGGAACTTTTCCATCTATTTGTTCCTGCCCCTGGCAAGGCAGCAGGTGGCCATTTGGGAGAATGGCACAGGCCATGGTTTCAATCTCCTCTGCCCTTCTTTGCGTTTTGTTTTCCTCAACCCACATCTTCCTCCTACCCTGACTTTTTTGTTTCTCTCTAAGCCACTTCTGTCTTTCTCCCCATGCCCTTGTTTTTCCCTTGTCACCTCCTGTAGATTCAGGATATTCCGAAGGTGCTGGTGTCCAACCTTAACCATTCCAGTGGGTAGCGCTCCCCCATTGCACAAGTGGAAGGTGAGGCAGTGCCAGGACCCCTCTCTGGCTTGCTCTCTCCAGCTGTGCAAGCTCCTCATGCCCCTGAGGCTTCTCTGGTTTGGGAGATACTTTGCCTCTGCCTTGTTTTATGTTGCTGCCATTAACCTTCATCCTGTTTATGTCTGCTTCTTCACTTGCTTGATTGATTGGGTTTTTTCCTTCCCCACATCTTTTATCATCTTGGAAATGGTGAGACCTTAAAGTTTAAAAGTAACTTGGGAATAAAGTATGGAGCAGGCATGTGGGATTCGGGGCCTTTTTTGTTTTGTTTTGTTTTGTTTTGTTTTGTTTTTGTGACAGAGTCTCACTCTGTCACCCAGACTGGAGTGGAGTGGAATGGTGCAATCTCGGCTTACTGCAACCTCTGCCTCCTGGGTTCAAGTGATTCTCTTGTCTTAGCCTCCTGAGTAGCTGGTATTAAATGCACCTGCCACCACGTGCAGCTAATCTTTGTATTTTTAGTAGAGATGGGGTTTCACCATGTCAGCCAGGCTGGTCTTGAACTCTTGACCTCAAGTAATCCACCAGCCTCAGCCTCCCAAAGTGCTGAGATTACATGTGTGAGCCACTGTGCCTGGTGCCTTGCTGTTTATATATTTTGTCTATATCCATAATTGTTTCCCATGTCAGTTTTTGGTTTGTTTGGTTTTTTTTTTTAATTTCTAATTTTTATTACTCCTGCATCATCTGCTACCCTGAAGGATCTGGAAGTAAGAGGCCCTGGGCTGACGTGCAGTGACCCTGCAGGCCAGCCCTCCAGCCTCCTCTCACAGTGGGGGCTGGGTGCCCCTCTGCCAGCTGAGACAGCCCACACACACACCCCAGCCCTAATGATTGTTCTCTCTACCTCTTCCCACAATCCTCCTCCAACTCCTCCTCTCTGCATGCGCCTCAGAGCTGGAACCAAGAACTGGAAGTAGCCCTGGACTCAAGCTCCGCAACAATCAATCAACTCAGTGAAAACATAGAATCACTGGTAAGAGTCCAGTGGGGTCCTGTGATTCCACGCTGCCAATCCTGGGCTTTACTTTCCCCTTGGGGCTCTGAAGAAAGGGGCTGGGGCCCCTGGTGCCAAGGGCAAATGGGGAGCTGGAGCACCCAGGCCTCACCTAGAGGGACCCCAGAGCAAGGAGCATGCAGCATGGCTCTTCTGTCACTGCCCTCTTTGCCGACTCTCTCTTCTCCAGACACCCCTGCTCCAGTCCTTGCCACACACGCCCTGGGGTTTTCTCCTCTCAGGGAAGCACTAGCCTGATGGTTTGTCAAGGGTGCTGTATTTCTGCCATGACTCAGTCCCTAATTTGCTCTTTGAGTCTGGACAAGCCACCTTTCCTCCTTGGGCTCCTGTTTCCAGAGGAGGTAGAGCATCAAAATCTCTGTTAGCTCTGAAAGTCTGAGATTTAAAGGCCCTTAGAATGGAAACCTCAGGGCCAAGGGCTCCTGTCTGTCCTTTTCCATTCTATATCTGCTGTGAAGAACTGTACCTGGCTTGTACGTGCTCAGTAAATGTTTGTTGAATGAACGCACCTTTCTCAATCACAAGCTGGCAGAAGGGTGGGTCTTTCTCAGACTCCGTCTCTAGAGGTTTATGTTACTGCCCTTTCGAGAGAATCCAGGTTCAGACTTTGAGTTCTGTGGCTGTGGGCAAAACCCAACAAAGACCCAAATCCTCTGTCCTTGCGAGCTTGAGGAGGGTTGACCCATTCCTGTTGCCATTGGGTCTGAGAACATTGCCCTTAAAATCCATTCCTGGCCCCTGCCTACCGCTTCCTGGTCTGGGGAATAGAGTTGAGGGGGCCCCCCTCAGTCACCTGAATTTGACTGTCCCCACAGAAACAACAGAAGAAACAAGTGGAACATCAGCTGGAAGAAGTAATGTGATTTCTTTGTTTGCTCACAACATGACTGCTGGGTTTGGAGGGCACTCAGATGTAGAGGCGCCAGTCTCGTCTCACCCACTCCCAGCCTGGGGAAGAAGGCAGATCCCTCAGATTCCACCCCATCCCCACAGGGTCCCTGATAATCTGGTCCCATGGGTGGGCCTGTGCTGGGGCATTGGTGGCATTCTGGGGGCACGTCTCTTGCTGTGCCATCTCTGCCTCCCCCGGGTAAGAGCTCTGTCTTCCTCTTCCTATAGGAAAAGAAAGCAAACAATGACATACACAAAGCACAGACGGAGCAGTTAGAGGTGAGTGGAGGGTGGGGAGTTTTCTCCTGTCCTCCGGAGAATGTTTCTTTCCTTCTCTTTCAGCACTTGCTTGGCTTTTCTCCCAAACATTCCATTTCAGACAATCAACATCCTCACGCTGGAAAAGGCAGACTTGAAGACCACCCTTTACCATACTAAACGTGCCGCCAGACACTTCGAAGGTGAGAACGTGGGCACCCCATCATCCTTCAACCTGGCACTTTGACAGGTCTTTAGGGGGAGTCCTTTGGGCCCCATCTCAACCTCTGTCATTACAGAAGAGTCCAAGGATCTGGCCGGCTGCCTGCAATACTCTTTACAGCATATTCAAGAATTGGAGCGGGCTCTCTCTGCTGTGTCTACACAGCAGCGGGAAGAGGACAGGGTGAGTCCAACCAGCTGCCCCATCCCCTGGCAGCCCGGCTTCCCAGATGGAGGAGAGAGTATAAAGGTCCCTTCTGCAGGATGCAGTGTCCTGCCCAGAAGGCAGCATGCTCATTTCTTGCTGCTTTTGTGTGTGGTTGTTAGAGGCAGCCTGGGGCTGAGTCAGCTGCTGTGGGTGAGTTGGGGGCACTGTGGGGAGCAAGCACTGGACGCAGAGCTCAGAGGCCAAGTGCCTGCCCTGCCCTTACCTGGCTGTGGCCTTGGCCAAGTCCTAGGTGGGATATTGGGTACTGGTACTGTGAAGGTACAGAAGAGTATCTTTAGTATGTTACCATTTCTGTAGAGAGAGGAAAGGCGTGTGTGTGTGGGTGTGAGTGTGTGTGTCTGTGTGTGTACATACTATGATAATATACATAAAACATGTTTGCAAGGGTTTGTAAAAAATTCAGAAGAGAGTAACAGGGTGGCTGGGAGACACTTCCCTTCTGTGCCTTCTGAGTTTTGGACTATGCGAATGTATCATCCTTTCAAAAAGTGAACAAAAGATTAATTTCCCCCTTGCTATCTGTGCCCCCACCCTCAGCAAGAAAAATGGGCTTAGATAATTGGATAGACCTGGGTGTTCAAATCCCAGCTTGGTCTGAGTGATTTTGGGCAAGCCCTTAACCTCGAACACTTGATGCTTTTCATCTGCACCATAGGGGTTATCCTAGTAACTGTCTCATATGGTGGTTGTGAGGATGACATGGGATTGCTAGTATGGAACCTGGTGAAGCACTCCATAAAGGTTCAAACAGTGGTATTAATAACAGTAATAACAACAGCAATGTTATCTGATCTCTCTGGGCCTCTGTTAGCCAGCTGTAAGTTCGATCTCTTTCCCTGTCCCTTCCAAATTTACTGAATTCTTTTAAAAACCAGGTCACGGGCTTGGAAATGTCTTGATCTTTACTGACCGAATTGTATATTGAGCCTAGCCCTAGCCCTTTTAAGGGGCACTGCCCGGGCTCCCCACATCAAAACTTCTCACTCTTCACCATCCAGTCCTCGAGCCGCAGTGAAGCCGTCCTCCAGCGGCAGTTACGGCAGACCTTAAAGGAGCGGGCGCTGCTGAACGCACACGTGACACAAGTGAGGCTTTGCAGAGGGAGGGATGTGGAGGGAAGATGATCCCAGCTGACCAGGAGCAGGTGAGGACCAGTGACAGCCCTTCCTCACTTCTGTGCCCATTCTTGCAGGTGACAGAGTCACTTAAACAACTCCAGCTAGAGAGAGATGAATATGCTCAACATATAAAAGGAGAGAGGGCCCGGTGGCAGGAGAGGATGCGGAAAATGTCGATGGAGGTGAGACCTGACCCTTCAGCCCCCACCTTTGATGCATCACTGGATCTTTCTGGGCATCTGTAAAATGGGAATAGTACAGCCAGAGGTGGTCATGGGTCTGGGTTTGTGGAGGTGGGGGCAGAGAGGGAGACAGTAGCCTGTCCAGCCACCAGCCCCTCTCTCCAGGGCCCTTTCCCCCTGTGCTTTGGGCAGGCTCGCACATTGAAGGAGGAGAAGAAGCGTGACATACATCGGATACAGGAGCTGGAGAGGAGCTTGTCTGAACTCAAACACCAGATGGGTAAGATGGGGCTGGTGTGACCTGGCAGCAGGACTGGCATCAGAGGGCTGTGGGGTGGCTTAGAATGCCCCAGGGAAGTGGGTGGATGGAAGGGCTTTGAGGCAGAGGGAAAGTGGTCTGTGTCAGCAGCCAGCAAGCCTTGTCATCTCCATGAGCCTCAGGGTCCCCATCAGCAAAGAGAGAGGAGTGCCCATTGCCAGCCACCCACAGTGCTCTCTATCTGACGTGGCTGGGAAGTTGGCTACCATCGGGTGTGACGAATCATTAGCAGTGAGGCCAAGTTTCTGAAGCCTGAGAGGAGCTGCATCAAGAGGAGGGCTTTTTCGGGGGTGGGGGTGGGGGATTGGAGGGAATCCACAGGCCCTTATTGTCTGTTTCATTTCTCAGCTGAGCCCCCATCCTCGGCACCCCCAGTAGGGACCTCTGAGGTGGAACAGCTACAAGATGAGGCCAAACACCTGAGGAAGGAGGTGGAAAGTCTGGAGGGAAAGCTCCAATCCCAGGTGGAAAACAATCAGGCCTTGAGTCTCCTGAGCAAGGAACAAAAGGAGAGACTCCAGGGGCAGGAGGAGAGGCTCCAAGAGCAGGAGGAGAAGATCCAAGAGCAGAAGGAGAGGCTCCAAGAGCAGGAGGAGAGGCTCCAAGAGCAGGAGGAGAGGCTCCAAGAGCAGAAGGAGAGGCTCCAAGAGCAGGAGGAGAGGAGGCTGCAGGAGCAGGAGAGACTATGTGAGCAAAAGGAGAGGCTTTGGGAGCAGCAGAAGAGGCTGGGGGAGCAGGGTAAGAGGCTGCGAAAGCAGGAGGACAGGCTACAAAAGCAGGAGAAGAGGCTACAAAAGCAGGAGGAGAGGCTGCAAAAGGAGGAGGAGAGGCTGTGGGAGAAGGAGGAGAGGCTATGGAAGCAGGAAGAGAGGCTGTGGGAGAAGGAGGAGAGGCTACAAAAACAGGAGAAGAGGCTGCGAATGCAGGAGGAGAGGCTCGGGCTCTCCCAGAACCACAAGTTCAACAAGCAACTGGCCAAGCTTTAGTGCAGCTTTGAGGATCTGGTGGGTTGCCCCACCTGGGGAGCCTGCCCTCATCCCTAGCCCTCCAGGCCTTTGTTTCCCCACCTGTAAAATGAGGCAGTGTAGTCCTCACATGACATGGTACTTCTAAAGGCATCTGTGAGCCAGAGCTCATCAGGCCCTGCTCTGATGGCTGTGAGGGAGAGGGGATGATTTTTCTAACTTGCCTCCACCCTTCCCGGTGACATGGGAGGCAGACACCAAGTTCTGGGGTCTCCAGCTGCAGTGGCTGGCCACTGATTGCTTCTCTCTGTCCAGAACAATGAGAACCAAAGCGCACTGCATTGGAGCAGCAAGTAAAGCAGCTGCAGGAGAAGCTGAGCGAGGTGAAGGAGATGGTAACCTCTGCCCCATCCAAGAAGGGCTGGGAGGCGGGCACCAGCCTCTGGGGAGGGGAGGTGCCAGGCCAAAGGCAGCTCCAGCTGGGGGGCAGGTGATGGCAGCAACCTCCAGGGCAGCTCCATGACTGTTTCTTGCTTCCTGCCCTCTGACTTTTACAGGTGGGTAGCCCTGGGCTCCTCCCAGGTCTGGACATCATCATCCCAGCTAAAGGCATGGATTCCCTAACCATAGGGGAAGAGACAGCTGAACAAGAGGCTCCTTATGCCGGGCACAGTGGCTCCTGCCTGTAATCCCAGCACTTTGGGAGGCTGAGGCAGGAGAATTACTTGAGGTCAGGAGTTTGAGACCAACCTGGCCAAAATTGCAAAACCTCATCTCTACTAAAATAACAACAACAACAAATTAGCCAGGCACGGTGGCGCATGCTTGTAATCTCAGCTACTCAGGAGGCTGAGGCACGAGAATCGCTTGAGCCTGGGAGGTGGAGGTTGCAGTGAGCCGAGATTGCACCACTGCACTCCAGCCTGGGCCACAAGGTGACATTCTGTCTCCAAATAAAACAAAAAAGCCTCCTTAGATTCAAACTGGATTCCAACCTCGATTCCACTGGTCACCATTCAACTACTTTTCATCTCTGTTTCTTTAGCTTCAAAAGGAAGTTAGCATTTTTCTTATGGAGGTGCTGGGGATTAAATGAGAGAACACATAGAAAGCATTAGGCATGGAGCACACTTAGCAGATGGTGGTTGCCTCCCTCAGCTTTTCCACCAGTCTGTGGCCTACAGTTTAAATGGTGGGAAGAAGGACAGGAGATTTGAGGCTGGGGAAGGAAACATGTGGTTCTAGGCAAGGGAGGAAGTCTCTTAGGCCTGGAGCAAGGGGCCAGGGGCCTGGGCAGGTGACAGAGCCCCACCGTGCCCTCGCTACCCTATTAATGGGCCCAGAATCTGGAAGCCAACCACCACATGCCCTCATGCCCAGGGTCTTCCTGCAGGTGGAGCTGAAGAGCCAAGAATCTCACAATCTGCAGCAGCAGCAGTGAGACTAGTACCGGGGTCACCTGCAGCAGTACGCGGCCACCTATTAGCATCTGACCTCTGAGAAGGAGGCGCCGCACAGGCAGTTACTGCTGCAGACCCAGCTCATGGACCAGCTGCAGCAGCAGGAAGCTCAGGGCAAAGCGGTGGCTGAGATGGCCTGCCAAAAGTTGCAGGAGACCCAGGGGAGGGAGTTGCTGAGGACAGGGCCCCGAGGGGATGACCTGGCAACCTCTGTGCCTTCTCACTCTGTTTCCCGTCCCTTTAGGAGCACCTAGAAGCTGCCAACCAGGAGAACCAACAGCTAGAGACCCAGTTGAGTCTCATGGCTCTCCCTGGACAAGGTACAGGAGACCACTCAGAGGAAGAGGAGAGAGCCCCAGGAGGAAGGGGGGGCTGTTAGCAGCATAGGATTGAGGGGTTGGAAGAGACCTTTAGAACAGCTGGTTGTTATGCCAACCGGGTGTCTGCACTAAGTTCGGCATCAATATAATGACCTCCTGGGAGCAGGGGGCCGCCAGGTTGCCTAAGGATGAGTGAACTGGCCCAGATCAGAAAGGGAGCAGGTCAGAACTCCCGCACCAACCGCTAGTGTGACTGTGCCTGGGCAATATAGAAGATCTTGGTTCTTAAAAGGAAAAATAAAGAACAGCAGCTCATTCCCCTCTGGGGAGGGGCTGGCTCAGGGTTACACAGTGAGGGTGGGGACAGACGTGGGCCCACAGTACATCCCTTGTTGGGTTTTCTGAGGACCCCTCTGGCCACCTCCCCACAGGAGATGGAGGAGGACATCTGGACGGTGAGGAGGAGGAGGCGCCTCAGCTGATGCCAAGTGTCCCAGAGGACCTGGAGAGCCAGGAGGCCACGGTGAGTCTGACTTTCCCTGTCCGCACTTTGCCACCTTCCTCTGTGGTCCCTCCCAGACCCCCTTATGCTCTTGCTTTCCCCGCCTTCTGATTTCTCTGGACATTCACCCCTTCCGGGAGCCAGTGGTCAGACACCACTTCACCTGTGACCAACAGGTGCACTCTCTGAGGCCCCAAGGGAAGGGGCTGTGCTCCACCTCCCTGCCCCATTTGTTCTGTGTATGCCCCTACAAGAATACTCAGCTCTTGCCTTCAAGTGGCATTTTTCAACTCCGCTGGAGCCAGTTGCCAGGAGGAGCAGGCACGGCTATGTGGGCAGCGGAAGGTGTGAAGGCTGTGCTGCCTGCCCCTGGCTCACCTGGTGGCCTCGGCCTGGAAGGAGCCAGAGGAGAGGCCCCAGCCCTAGGGACTGGGGGTGAGTTTGTGTGTGGGGAGAGCTACCGGGCCCTGAAGGAGGTCATGGAGAAGGTGAAGGTGAGTGAGTCCTGGCATGGGCCATGAAAAGTGGGGGCAGGGCAGGAGAGGTCACTCCCAAGATATGACCCCATTATTTTGGCTCCAGAGTGGCTTTATGGACCTCCCAAAGCAGAAGGTGGGTGGGAAGGAGCAGGTGGAGAACCTAGAGCTTGGATTCATCCAGCTCTCTGGAGCAACAGACGGCATGAGTGAGCGGGAGGCCACAGCATGGGCACGGGCAGCTGCAGGGCCATTGTAGGGGCCCCAGCGTCTGAGCCCTGTCCTCTTGCAGGAGAGTACTTCACCGTATATGGGAGCCAAGGGGCAGTCCCAAACACGCGGCACCAGGAGGAGGAGGACGTCAGCAGTCTGGCCCAGAATGAGGAGGAGATGAACATAGGGCACGAAACATTTCTGCAGGGGTGGGGGTGGGTGTGAGCACAGGCTCTGATGTGGTAGCTGAGCACTCCTCCCTTCAGGTGAAGCTGCTGGAGCTGCAGGAGCTGGTGTTGCCACTTGTGGGTGACCACGAGGGGCATGACAAATTCCTCCCCACTGCCCAGAACCCTGCTGATGAGCCCGCTCCAGGGGCCCCAGCCCCCCAGGAACTTGGGGCTGCCCATGAGCAGGGTGGTGAGTAGAGCCCTCAGGCGGGGTGGACAGGCAGGGGCAGGGGAGGCTCGCACTGTGCTCAGACCCCTGCCTCCCTCTCTCCGAAGATTTCTATGAGGTGAGCCTGGCCCACAGCGTGGAGCCTGCACCAGGAGAGGACAGGGAGGGTTCTCCCCATGACAACCCCACTGCACAGAAGGTTGTACAGCTGCTTCCTGTAATGCAGGACACCCAGGAGCACCCAGGCTTGGCCAGCAAACCCTGCGTGCCATTCTTTTACCGGGCAGCCGAGAACAGGGAGATAAACATCATCATCATCTAAGAGCTGGTCAATAAATTTAAAAAAAAAAAATTATGGGGTTAATCCCCTACACAATTCATCTACTTCATTGGAATGTTAGAGCCCCTCGTGTTTATTTATGTTTCTAATTTACAGTTTAAATTTGTTTGTAGAAAGTTACCTTTAGTATTTTTGTTTTTAATTTGATAATTGTAGGTCATTAGCTCGCATATCGAGTTTGCCCTTACATGGTGGGAGTTCAAACACACAAAACCCACTATTTGCACAAAACTATTCTTACTGGTTTGGAATAGGCTGCCATGCTTTTTAAATGTTATTGCAGCATGTATATTCATTACAGAATTCAGATAAAATTTGCTTATGTTCTGCTATTATGTTTGATCGATTCCTAATCACAGTGAGCTCTTCATTAGCTCAGTATGTGGTTTGCCCTCAAGTGCGCACTGTTTCTTACTTTGTAATATGCCACTGTGAGTACTGACATTTAGAGTTGTTTAAAGGCCAAGAAGTGGAAACAGCCTTTCCCCTATTTTCTGTGTATTGGGGATGGGAGTGATAACATTTTGGGGAGCTTTTTAAATCTTACAGAAGAGGAAAGTGGCCTGCTCTGGCAGGTGTGCGCAGGATAGAGTGTGTTTCATTTGTTCTGGTGCCAGGAATGAGCGCGGTACTATGGTAGTTCCCTTAGGATTTGTACGTGCTCTGGGCTCCTGAAGATATCGCAGCATGAGCTGCAGCAGTTGGACTCTTTCTCAGTGACCTAAAAAAAAGGGATTCTTTCTGAGGAATGAAAGGCTCCCATCATGGACTGTGGATGTGGAAAACCTTTCCCAGCCTAGAGCATTTATATCTTCAATACATTTTAAAGTCAGAGTTCATGTTACCTGTTTTAATCACATGACTACATGTCCCAGTACACAAAAGGGCACTGCTTGGCATTCTTCTTAATGTATTTAGTGAAGATCATAAGAAACCCTTTCAGAGTTTAAATGTCCCTGGAACAGGCATACAGGCTCTAGTCAAGAATGAATTCGAGTGAAGGAAAGCTGTGTGACACCTGGCATTCCTCTATGTTCATGGAGCTTCTTTGAGGCTAGAAAACTGATTTTACCATCTAGACCTCTCTGGCTAATACCTATTTTTCAGCCACATTGGTTAATCTGATATAGGAATTTACTTCTTTTCCTTGAATGGAAAACACTTTAAAAATAATAACAACCATTTAATAAACTAATACATGTGAGAGTATTGGTTGAAACAAAAAGCAGTTTTAGTGGACAGTGTTATACTACATTTGAAAATCAAGGAGAAGTTTATGCAACTTAAAATATTTACAAACTGCAATGCAATCTACTGTTTGTGAATGTCAAAGTATTATGAGTAAAGGTATCTATACAATCACAGAGTTATATTTCCTCACAAAGTTCTTTACGAAGGGTGAAATATGTTTTTATACCTCTCGGTTTCAGTTAGAGGCATATTTTGTGCCATATTTATGTTATGTGCCTATACAGGATGAATGAATTATTTCAGTCATATGTTGCCTAAATCATAACTTCATGATGCTTGGGAAAGAATCAACAGTTAAAACTTCATGAAGTTCTAATGTCTGTGTTCCAAAATACGTCACAGTATTAGGATGTAGGGAGAGATATATGTGCGCTCCCTGGGGTGTGCAATTCTAGTTACTAGACCATCTCCATTTTTAGCATTTGGCATCCTCATGATACTTTTATAAATATGACATTAATAGGAGAGCAATAATATGATTTTACAGATGAAATAACAGATTTGCCTGCATTCACTGAAAGAGTACAAACATTGGTCCTTCAACTGACTCTTTCAAATTGTATGAATTTATCAATGTATTGGATAAACCCAGTTTCAGAATGATAAAAACTGTCAGACCAAATAGTGTGGGTAATTAGCAGTGGTACAGTTTCTAAATACTGCTCTTTGTGTAGGGATTTTGTCCTATGTTTCAGAAAAAGCTAAAAAGAATGGAAATCCTATGACAATAACTTAAGTGTTTCTTCAAAGCATGCAGTCTTTGCAATACCTCATTCAGCCAAGTATTTGTTCTCTTCCTCATTCGGTATAAGGCAGCTTTCAATCTGCTTAGAAGGCAACATTAGAAGGTTAGAGTTCATCAGAAATACAGAATTTTAAAATGTGAGTTCAACTGAATAAAATCGAATTTCTGTAGGAAGTAAAGAATCAAAATACCTATTTAAAGATTGCAATATATGGTCATTATTTTTAAAGTATCTGATTAAACCTGATAGGTTTTCCAGAAATGAAAAAAAAAATCAGTTCAAAAACTAAAGCTGATTTTTAGAAAATGTGAAAATGTAAATCAGCCCTATCCGTAATATTTTCTCTAAAACTTTATCTTACAGAGTCACTTTAAGATGATATAACTATTCAAAAATGTAACTGCTATGTTATTGTTTTAAAATAAGTTAAAACATCTTAAAATATGAATACTGTAGTTTAAAGCAAAGAACCTGGGGGAAGGAAAAGTAGAGAAAGAGATGCCAATTCCAATACCAAGCTTTATTTGCTGAGTTTTCTTAGAATGACTTTTACCAATTTATGAATTCCTGTCAACAGAATGTATAATGGAAATACTGAAAAACTTTTGTGTAAACTGGAATTATTGACTGCTACTGTGATGCTACTGTAATGTAATAAATTAGGAATTTGTTGCAAAGTGCTGTTTTTGCCGTAAATTTTGTGTGTCTTCAAAACTATGGTATTAAATGTATTGAGACTGTGCAAATGCTGGGCACGCTTGGCATGAGATAATCGGCTTTTGTTTTTACAAAATTGTAACTATGCAAGTGTGTTTATTAAAAGAACAGAAACTAAAAAGAAGTTATGGGAATTTAAGACAGTTGTGGGATGAAACAGTTATGGGATAAAAAATGCTGTGGAAAAGCGGCCAAAAAAGTAGAAAAAGTTTTATGAAAAGTTTTTTTTTAAGTTATAAGAAGTTATGAGATTTTTTAAAAAGTCATGGGATAAAAATAAAAATAAATAAAAGCAAGCCCCTGTCAGCATAAGCCTGGAGAAGTGAGGCTGGAGTCTTCGCCCCCCACCATGTACCAACCACCCCTTCCCAGTCACCCCTTTACCATTAGGGTAGCAAGACAAGACCCCGTCTAATGGAGGGAGACAAACAGACCCTTTGCCATCTTGACCAGGGCCGAGTCCTTAAATTTCTGGACGGTGATGTTTGTTATTGAAGAGCCAGAGGCTGGTGGAGCTGGTTTGTTTGGAGAAGGCCTGATGACCTCCCTACTCTCACCAAAGCAACTTTTCCCTCAGGGGGCCTCGCATCTTCTTATTCAGAGAGGCAGCTGAGGCGGGACAGTGGGGCTAACTGTAGAGCAGGCGAGGGCACGGGCTGCTGGGGTGACCCCCCTTCCCCAGTGTACATATAGTATCTGTGTAACATTTTGTATATTCCGGGGGGTAGGGCTGCCCCCTGTATCGTACCTAGTGGAGGTTGGAGCTGGCATATGAGGAGGAGGTTCTAATCATTATTGATGGCTGGGAAACTTATTTATTGATAGCACAGGACAGAGGAAGGAGGTCGGGATGGGGTTGTGGCTCCCTGGTGATGCGACTCCTGTTTATTTTGCTTTTCATTATGGAATAAATGGATTTAGCCATACTGCTCAGCCTGGTGGGTTCCCGTTTCCCTCACTGGGTGCTGGAGTTTGTGCCACTGAACGAGGAGCCCCAGAGTGTCTGAGCATGTCCAGCTCAGCTGTTGGGAACCTTCCAGGCCTGTTACCTGTATGCTGCCTGGTGACACCTGATGGATTTCATGGGGGCTGCCATGGCACCTATGGGGCACAGTGAGGCCCTGACAGCCAACAGGCTCAGAAGCCTGATCTAGCGGTGGCCAGGAAGGCAGATACCAGCACCCAAGGACACTGACTTCCATCCACCCCAGGCATCTTCCCTTCGGCCTCCCTGCCTCTCTGGCCTATCTGCACTGGGTGGCCTGTTCTGTCTGTCCCTCCAGAGTGACAGGTGCCCCGCAGGCTCCTCCAGGCTGAGTTCATGGCCCTGCCCCCTAGTGGCCACAGCCAGCTTCACAGGATAAGAGCCAGCTAAGCTCCAGGGGCTTTCCAGGAAGTGTCCCTTGGAAAGGGTGTGGCCTTTTCACCACTCCCAACAGCACCCTAGAAATGGCTTGGCCTTTTCCCTCCCTGAGCTCCACAGAGAACAGCCAGCAGAGGACACATTCCCTGTCATCCAGAAATGGATCTGATTCTCAGCTGAGGGACAGCAGAACTGGTAGACACTGTCAGCCCACACAGCTGCCTGCACAGCACCCCCATGCTTGGTGGGGGGTGGGAGGGATGGTGGAGGCTGGCTGTCCACAGGCCAGGCATGACAGGGAGGCTCACTGGAGGTGGCGCTCTTTGGAAGGGCAATGTCAAGGGACAGCTTTCTCTTGTTGGGCCACAAGACTCCACAAGGACAGCACGGTGACTGATTCCCAGTGCTAGAGGTGAGGCGGTCGGCCACGTGTAGATGTGTATATATATATGAGTATTTATAGATATTTATAGAACAGGGCAGGGCATACCACAGAGTATTTATGGATATTTATAGAACAGGGCAGGGCATACCACAGAGGGGCACAAGTTTTCAGCAATGGTCACACCTGGATGTGTCAGCTCAGCACTACAACAGACTAAGTCACAGATGAAGGGGGCTGGCTTTGGGCTGGGGAGCCACTGTCAAGTCACAGGACACCCACCCAGGCAGGCTTGGAAAGGGAGGCCTCCCAGAAGAGGAGGATCTGTTTAGAGGTTGAAGGGGGACCTGGGGCTCTCAGGATGGGATAGACTTGCCTGATCCATTCAGCTGGCAGTTGGAGGAAAGCAGAGAGAAAATGGGTTAAAGAAAAGCCAGAGCCGGAGCTTGTAGTGAGCCGAGTTGGCGCCACTGCACTCCAGCCTGGGCGACAGAGCAAAGACTCCATCTCAAAAAAAAAAAAAAAAAAAAAAAAGAAAAGCCAGAGCTGGTGAGGCAAGTGCAGAGCATGGGCGAGCCACAGCAGCTGTGGGAGGGCTGGGGAGGGGAGGGCACAGGTGTGGGTGTGGCAAGGTTCCTAGAAAAGAGGGGCTGGAAGGGAAAGGGGAGGAAGATAGAGGGAGGAGCCAGAGCTTCACAGGTGGTGCCTGGGGGATGTGGCTGCCCTCTGCAGCCCACACACGCTGGCCTCTCTCACGGGACCCAGGAAGTGCACCCATAGTTCAAACCAATGCTCAGCCCCCTTGGGCTTCCCTCTTCTCTGGTCACCCTGTCTTCCAACTCACTGGCCCAGGGCCACCTCTTGCTTGGGGAGCCCCACCCAACAGCCAACTGGCCTGATAAGGAACACTGCTTGAACCAAAATAGTGAAGCTATAAGGGATGGATGGCTGGAGTGAGTGCCAGAGGCCCCTCTGGGTGGTCAGCAAGACCAGGGCCCTCTGAAGGGAGCCTGGGGAAGGCAGGGAGGGCAGGTAGCCGGATGCCACTGGCCATAGACTTATAAATCTATGAGGGGAGCCTCAACTGGTTGATGGGGGGCTGCAGGTTGCATAGGTGAAGCTGGGCCCTTCCGACTGGGAAAAGCAGAAGAGGGAGAGTCCGTGGCAGGAAAGGCAGGTGGGCTCGCTAGGCGGAGCTCAGCTGGCACTGTGGTCCCATTGGCTGAATAGCACAGACAACCTCTAGGAACAACAGGCCAAGGCGTGTGAGCCCGCTGGCCAGTGGTAGTGCTTCAGTGGGGGCCAGGGACCCTGCCTTTGGTCACACAATAGCAGCTATGATGGCACTTGGGAGGGAGGGAAGGGGGTGGCTGTGTGTCCCTGCCTGGCCTGTGGAGTGTGTTGTGGGATGACCGTGTGTGTGGGACTCTCACCTAGATTGCCACTGGATTGCCGACAGATAGAAGAGGTGGGACCCTGACTATCACCCCTGCTCTGCAGTGGATTCGGCTCTCGGCACTCCCAGGCTGGGAGCTGGATGCCCTGCCCTGGCAGCATGACTCAGACTGCACGACAGGTACGGTGTGCCCAGGATGATGTTCCTAGACCTCTGGCCACCTCAGAGTCCATCCCCACACTCAACCCCCTCCAAGCTCCCAGCCCCTACACCATGAACCACGAGCTCTCTGCCCTCTCTGATGGCTCCAGAGAGCACCCACACCTGCCAGCTTGGGAATGGAACCTGTTTCAAGAGCCCCCAGGCTCAGTCATGGAGGCTGGTACCTGCATCTGGCCGGGACGCTCTGCACCTACAACCAGGAGTCATCCACCAGCCCCTGTGGGTGTGCTAACAGTGGTCGTGTTGATGTCACCGATGATGCTGGGTGCCTCCATCAGCATGTGGTACATGTGCAGCATCTTGTCGCCCGGCTGTGCCTGCTCTGCTGACTCCTCCATCAGCGTGTTCTCATCCCCATGCTAGTACAGGTTGGCCAGCAGTTCTGAGAAGATGAACTCGTTGGTCTGAGAGTGGGCAAAGAGGGAAGGAGGTTAGAACCTGACGCCTGTGCCACCCTGGCCGCCCCGCCGGGCCCTGCTAGGACTGTGTGCTGGACTTGGAGCCCCAAGTATGGCTTTTCAGACGTGGCTTCTACACTGCTTCAACTCGAAGATCTGCCTCCCAACCACCTTTTCCCACTCAGATGGGGACACTGAGGTCCAGAGGAAAAGTCACCTGTCCAATATCACAGATCTGGAAGGGCACCCAGGACCTATCATGCCACCAGGACACCTGTCTACTCAGTTTTTAAAAATTTTTTTTGGAGATAGGATATTTTTCCATCGCCAGGCTGGAGTACAGTGGGCGATATCACCACTCACTGCAGCCTCAAACTCCTGGGCTCAAAGTGATCCTCCAACATCAGCCTGTCAAGTAGCTAGGACTACATGCACATGCCACCACCAAGCCCAGCTAGTTTTAAAATTTTTGCATAGAGACCAAGTCTCACTATGTTGCCCAGACTTGTCTCGAACTCCTGGGCTCAAGCAATCCTTGACTTGGAAGAGCCCTGGGTTTATGGCCTGGGCAGCCAAGTGTTCAGGAACCCTCCCTGGCCACAGAGTCATTGCCTGTTCTGGGCCACCCTCGTCCCCTTGACCACAGCTGTTGGCTGCTCTGACGCTGACAGCCGATTTGGACACTGGGAGCTGAGGTGCTGGCTGAGGCCATGCCAGGCTTCCAGGAGGTCATCACTATTTTTAGGGTCTTTTATTGGGGAGTGGCTTTGTAACAGTTTCAGGCTTACTAATAGCACCCACAACAGTGTCCTGATTTCTGCCAAATGAGGAAGGATATGAGAATCATATTTGCTGGGGAAAGTGATTCTGAGTCCTGGGGTGAGCCTGGAGAGTTTCTGTTCATCTCGTGTTGGGTCAGGATTCCTGAGAGTGACACGGAATGAGCTCACCCATGCCAACAGCTAGGGCTGTGTTGGAAGCGCCGCTGCCCTCAGTTCTGTACTGGGTTCCAGGTGCTCCCAGGAGGAGCAGAGGTGAGTGGGCATGGCTCTGGCGAGTGCCCGCCCCTTCCCTGGCACCGCAGGTCGACCTGGCCCCTCCCACACTGCTGGGCCTTGCATGGTCCTGCAGCACCTCCTTGTGAATGGCTCGTGATACGGTCTCCCCTGCAGCTTGCTTTAGAAAGCAGGGTCGCCAGA